ATTAGAAAAATCATTGAACATAGAGAGTCTCATGGAGTGATTCATAATAAAATTCCTAATTACAATTGCATCTCCAACAATCACTGTGACCCAATGACATTCATTATATGTGATTTCATTTGCCTCGGTATTCTTAACTGCACAAATGTTCTTCAAAGCAAGATTAAGCGTATGCACAACACATGGTGTCCAGAAAATATGAGGATATACTTGCTCTACAAGTAGACCTGCAGCTCTACAAACAGGTGCATTATCAGTAATGACCTGAATGATGTTTGAAGGCCCTACCATTATGATAACTTCTTTGATTAAATTAAAAATGAAGAACTTATCCTTGTACTGTCCTTCACAGTTTACAGCTTTGATAAACATAGGATAGCTCTCTATTACAGCCATGAAGTTGATAAGTGGTCTTCTTTGTGGATCTGTCCACCCATCACAAACCAAAGTAACTCATTTTTCCTTCAAAACTCCTCTAGTAGGCTCGAGCAACTTCTCAATATTATCCCTCTCTTTGCAACAATTTCGTTCTAATGACATTATATCCTGGTGGCACGTATCCTGCAAGATTGTTATTGAATGCATATGTAAAGACATTCTTGTAATGTGGATTCCTTGCCAGGTTAAAAGGAAGTCCAGCTGAGTAAAATATTCTAGCTATTTCCCCGTCTAGTTGTTCTCTCATTTGTAAATTAAATGCTTTCTCCAAAGCACTATCTACAACATGTTTTCTTCTTTTTGGTTCAAATCCCTCCATTCGAAAAGGCCCTTTGTTTACAGTACTATCATCACATCTAATTGAAGATGATGAAGGATATGAAACATGAGTGCTTGGAAGTGGAATATATTTTGGAAGCTCTTTTTCAATGTTTAAAATTACGTAATTCGGGTATTGAGGCGTTTTTCATTCGTGAGGCGAGGCGTAAGCCTCAAGGCGTTTTGAGGCGTAAGCCTCAAAATCAAAAGATTGTGTAAACATAATGATAAATTTTTGATATACTAATGAGTGAATAATATAAAATATAAAAAAGCATATGATATGAAGTGAAATCAAAATATCCCAATAATAAGACAACATGAAATATAATTCAACTCAAAATTCTCTCTTTCCCAAATCCTAGTATTCTTTTTATTAACATATAATTTCAATTTCAAAAAATAAATAGCAATGACATATCACCTAAGAACTCATAAGTCATCAACACTGTTATCACTAAGGGGTTCTTCATTTGAATCATCATTATGATGAACTGTTTTCTCCCCCTTCCTCCTCTCCTATAGAGTCCAATGTCGGGCATTTACTTCAAGATTTATATAAGTTTTAATATATGTAGCGTGAGGCGTAAGCCTTATGCCCGTGAGGCGAGGCGGGCCTCAACCAAGTTGAGGCGCAAGCCTCATAAAAAAAACTCAAGGCATAAGAAGGCGTTTTTTACTGGAATTGCGCAAAGGCGAGCCTCATATTGCGCAATTTTAAACAATTATCTTTTTTACTCCTTTGCTCAGCTTCACTGGTTTTCCTTTGTAATTTAGCCATTTGTGATGAGCTTATCTTTGGGCAAACTTTGATTTTATAACCACTAATCTTCAACAAATGAGCTTTCACTCTATAATATGATCCTTTGTATGTTGCATTACAAAAATTGCATTTGAATGCAATATTGCCCTCCCCCTTTTGATGTTTTACCTATTTTTGTAACATAACCCTATAGAGGTTTGTTATCTTCAATATTGATTTATGATGGACCATCATCAGAACCAATTCCTACTCCACTAGAGCTCATTATTCTACAAAGGATCTACATAAATTAAAACATATGAATTTGAAACATGAAAAATTTAAGTGAAAGTGTATATATGTTGCGACTTTGTTGGCCCCCCCCCCCCTAACGGGGTTTCAGGGGGCAGCGCCCCCGTAACAAATTTTTTTTGTAAGAGTGATTTTGAAGTGCTGTTTATTTTTAAAGTTATTTTTATGGAAAGATACCAAGCGGTACCGAGCATGTTTTAGCTTCTCAGTGCCTCTTTGTACCATTCAGTACCCCTCTATACCGAGCAATATCGAGCGGTACCGAGCAGTACCGAGTTACAGTACCGAGCAGTACCGAGTTCCAATACCGAGCGGTACCGAGTTCCAATACCGAGCGGTACCGAGTTCCAATACCGAGCGGTACCGAGTTCCAATACCGAGCAGTATTGAGTTCCAGTACCGCTCGGTACCGAGCAATATCGAGTTACAGTATCGATTTCCAATACCGAGCTATATCGAGTTCCAATACCGAGCGGTACTGAGTTCTAGTACCTCTCGGCATCGAGCAGTACCGAGCAATACTGAGTTCCAGTACCGTTCGGTACCAAGCGGTACCGAGTACCGAGTTTCGATACCCTGCCTATGATTAAGAAAACGAAGAAGAAAGAAAATGAACCTTCACTGCTCACGTCGCCTTCACTATTCGTGTTGTCAAGCCGTTCCGTCGACGAAGGATGATCCTATTGACTTTAATGCTCTTGTCGTCAAGCCTCTTTGTCGACAAAGGATGATCCTATTTGCTTCTATGCTCGTGTCATCGAGCCGCTCCTACTATAACGAAGAAGACGAAGACTTGTGTGGAAATGAAAAACCTAGCTCTTTGAAATGTTTCAGCCGCATAAATGAATATGAATATTAAGCGGAAACGTCGAAAAGCCAAAATGAATAGGGTAAATTGCGGCTCCGTTTTTTTTAATAGGACACGCGTGTCCAGTCAAATTTAAATAATATTTTAATTGGACACGGCAAAGCCGTATCCGGCACGTATCCGTGCTGTATCAGAGGCGTATTCGTATCCGACACGTGTCCGATATAGCACGCCTCGTAAATAGGAGTATCCGTGCAACATAGACGACAGCTCTTTAGCCTGAGAAGGGAGAAGAGTGCAGTAGGCAGAGGTGGAATGAGATGAATCCCTAAGTGAAGGCTTGGGCTTGACCGACAGGGACATATATACCAGAGAATGTAAACAGCTCGGTTTGAAACGAGTAGGCTTCGGTTGATTAGAAGAGGTCAGAGGAAGGTGCTCGAACAGCCTTTGGTCATGCGAGATTGACGAAATGAGATGAAGGGTTATTTGTGAGGTGGAACCTGACGTAAAGGAGCTCAGTTAGAAGCTGCAAGCGTGAGCTTTGATTGCTTACAACTTGGAGATAGGGGGGCGGGACAGGGAGATCGAGTAGCTGCTGTAGTCACTCGGTTTAGACGTGCGAACGTCTAATACAAACGGAGGTGGTTTCAATTGGAGGGTTGTGAAGGACGGGCAAGGACGTGAGGACGAATGGGAGCTCGGTGGAGTTTTTTTTTATCTGGAGTTTGGAAAGAAGCTTGAAGGTTCGCATGTAAAAAAAAAACGTTTTGTTCCTCTCTTTTTTAACGACGAGAGGTTGTATTCAGACAAGGTGACAACTGCCATTACGGGATTTCGAGGATTCAAAGCAGAGTTTTGCACAGGATTTTGATTCAATGAGGTAACAAATTAAATGCGATTTGAAACTTCGTTTGACGTGCAATTTGATTTTTTTATTTGACTTGTAAATTTCTTTTTTTTAATATAAAAAAGGTGGTAATATTAATTCTTTGTTATCATTATTCATGATAATCAACACCCCCCTTCAGCAGCCATTCCTGCCTCAAAACCAATCCTCCAATGTTTCTAAGTTGCAAATATATAAAACCTTTAGTATGCATTATCTCCATTTGCTCTACTTTCAAGCCACTTTGTTTTCGGCATCCTATCAAATTTCAGTGACTTGAGAAAGGGAAGTTGCCCAAAAGGTGGAAATGTTTCCTATTCCAAGTGATATGTTAATTTGAGCATCTCTAGTTTGAACATCGTATTGACATTATTCATCCATTACTGTAGACCCTGCACCCATGTATTTCCTTATGCTTAGATTCCTTAAACATTTCGGATGGTTGAAGGTCATCAAGCACGTTCTAAGTGAAATTAAAGTTTTCCCGAATTAGTGAAATTCCAACACAAGGTTAAATCTGTGAGTCTCCTCTTGGCATATATTTTGGCACTACAAACCTCCTCGACATCCTTAATACCAATTGATTATTAATTTTGCAAAGATCATTCATGTTTTCCAGCTCCCCAATTCTATAACCACTCTCATTCCTAAAAGAAAGGTTCTCGAAGAGACCTTAGCTTCTCAATCTCACATATTGATAAAATACAAGCCTTGGTTATTCTCATGTGACACGAGTTATCAATGTCATTAGAAATCTTGGCGGTATACTCAATGTATCCCTTTTAATCATTAAGTGTTGAGGATATTTCAAATATCTAATCTCCTCGAGTATCCTTTCCAAACCATCAATATACATATGCATGATAAGTGTAGGCTTCCCGTGCTTGGAATGTTTTAACAAGTGCACTACGAAGATCTTGATTTGAACATTTATGAGACGAGAGAAGACAATGCAAACATTCGAACTCCCCAATCCTTCTTAAGATGTCAAGCTCTGTAGTTTAAACAGATAGATGTCGAACAATCATAGGAATTATAGAAGGCAACTCAATACTATCCTTAACTCTTGAATATCCTTTTTTGAAAACTGACTGCGCCAATTCATGTAGTAAATCGTACATCTTATAGCATGAAAGATTTTTTTTTTATTAGTCTTGCCAAAGAAAGGATTTTTTTATCGGAATGCCAAAGCACCTTCCTTTAATGTCCCCTATAACATTTCCTTGAAAACTAGCAGGCTGAATGAAATCCAATGCAATCCACATTTGAACTGAATCACCTTTATCAAATTTATGATTTTGAGGTAGTTGTAGGGGTCAACATGGATCCAATGGCATATTGTATTTTTTATCTACTGTACAACTGGATATTACTGTAAATCTGAAAGTTTTTATGCCCAGGACTGGACTCTTTGTTATTTTTTTTGACAGCTTGATACACTTATTTTACTTTTGTATCATGGATCACTATTTGTAATTTTTTTTTTAACTCAGGAGCTTGGGGGTAATGCTTTTTGGTTTGACCGTTTTCTTGCCCAGCATATTGCAATCATTTACTACTTTATGACGGTCTTCATGTATGCACTGAGCCCAAGAATGGCATGTGAGTATACTCATGCATTTACGTGTTTCTTTTTAACAATGAAAACTTATTTTAAGGTTTTAATACTGGATCTTTATAGAAGCATGAAATTGTATTCTTGATCTAGCCTTCATTGGTAGTCAACTCCACGTTGCTTCAAAGTTGCGTGAGCTTTCATCTTGACCTTTAAAAGAATGGTTTTGTGGACCACGTTTTTGTAGCTGTTTATTGTTACTATTTTTCACCGTAATATCATACAGCACTTCTGATATTAAATTGTGGTCACCATATTACTCTTACATTTTAGCGGTCTTTTTTTTCAATGGCATATTATCGTCATGGAGCAATATTTTTATATTGGAAATTACTTGAACGTTTAGAAACCGGTTTCTCCTTTGACTCAATTTCAGTACTGTCAGTTGACATGAACGTCCATCCATTTTTGATGTAAGAATTTTCTTGATGACAGCAGCATTAATTTGCCAAGAATTAGGATTGTTAGGATTTTTTATTGAATAGTTTTTTAAGTGCTTATTTAGGATTGCTTTTGTTTTGTTTTTTTGTTTTATAAAACAGGTTAAAGAGATAATTAAACAAGTTTGATAGGTTGTTTTTATTTTTTATTTTTTCAAACAGATTAAGGTGTTTAAAAAAGTTTGTAACTCACATTTTGCCTGTTTTGTAACTTTCAAAATAGACTCTTATATTCGAACAATAAGCAGCTTCTGAATTTGGGCTAAATTAGAAACAAACATATATAATGTTGGATTAGGAACAAATATTATTTAAACATTTAATCATATATAGATTTCATTCCAAAATCTAAAATTTTAAAGTCATGTTGGAGAATTTTTGTATCCTCAAACGGATTGCATATCTTATGATTGAGCACGGCATAAGAATGATGATATATTACCCCGAAGGGTAAAAATATCACTTCCTTATGAACTCAATAATAAAATTTACAATTTTAATAGAGATTCCCCCATTCAATGTTTGGTTGAATGGGGTTTATTTATTTCTGGGGTACAGACGTCCCATAGGGGAAGCCCCTATGCTATGGTTAATTATATCCCAAGCTTTGGCTTGGGAAGACTTTTGATTAAACTAGTGATTTTCTTGCTTTTGGAAGTCATTCAAATATTAGCTAAAGTTTATTTTTTAAATCCAAGAAAGTCTTGTTTAAAGGTTATGACCAATTAGAAAATTCAAGCAGGAGTTGATTAGCTTAGAATCAGATTTTGGAATGAGAGCCAAGGGAGGTGAAGTAGGAGCATTTGATTATGAGGGAAACTCAGAGGTGCTCAAACTATCATATGTTGGGCTTTATATTTTAGAAATCATCTAATTTTGGTTTAAGTTGATAATTTAATTAGAAAGTTAGGGCTTATATTCTTACAACACATGTTGGAGGGATTACCCGAAAGATGAGGGCTTATAGGGTGATTTGGAATCAGCCAATGCCTCGGACCCTAAAATTAAGGTGAGGACTACCGATAGGTAGTACCTCGAACTTAAATCTAACGAGTTCAAAGGGGCTTACAAATCACACCTCATAAGAGGCATAGTCTGCCCTACCTCTGAATTTACTGTCCCGCCTGGAACGGATGACCAGCTAGACTCACCTAAATGTTTTTTAAAAAATTATCATCTGGTATTGATGCAAATATAGAGTAGAAGGCATGATTTAAAATTGCGCAATATGAGGCCCGCCTTTGCGCAATTCCAGTAAAAAACGCCTCGATGCTTACGCATCGAGTTTTTTTTATGAGGCTTGCGCCTCAACTTGGTTGAGGCCCGCCTTGAGGCCTGCCTCGCCTCACTGGCATGAAGCTTACGCCTCAAGCTATATTTGAGGCTTACGCCTCAAAACGCCTTGAGGCTTACGCCTCGCCTCACGAATGAAAAACGCCTCAATACCCGAATACGCAATTTTAAACATTGGTAGAAGGTTATTTTTATTTAGAATGTAGGGCTTATAGCTTGGCTTTGAGGTTGAGATGCCTATTTATGTAGGTATGCATATGTTGACTCAAGAAAAATAGATTTTTGTTATCTAATCTTTAAATGAGTGCTTTATATATGCAACACATTTGGGCTATGCATGATTGTTTTAATTTTTAGAAAACTTAGCTCCTTGAAGGGAGCCATGCAAGACTTTCTTATTTGTTAGAAAATTATGGAGCCTAAATCAATTTTTTAGATTGATTACATTTTAATGGATAGAAAACTTATTTTTGTCCTAAGAGCCTACCGCATCAAACAGTCCAAACCACACCCAAGCAAAAGTAGAGAAAGAAACTTTGGAAAAAGATGCATTTCTATTACACAATCAGGTAAACAATCAAGGCATGCTTGTATATATATCAAATGCAAAGAATGTAAATAGAGTCCAAGTTATTACAACCAGATTTCACAGCTGAGTTGCCTGCCATTATACAACCCAGTCAAATTATTACAGACTCTACTTGTGGGGTCTTCAAGCTTTACTTTCCAAGTGAACCTTAGGCCTCACCTTCCACAGGTACACCCGTTTGGTTCACCTTCTTTTGATCCAGACCTCCACAAGTTTACATCCTACTTCTATCAAATACATTTAAAAAATGTAAAAGACTCAAGCCTGCAAAGTAGAGTTAAAAGTAGTTTATATGATAATCACATCCAAAATTTGCCTAGCACTTAGAGTACTAAGCATCTGCTTCTACCTTATTGACCACATCTTTTGGGGGGTTTTAAGCAGCACCTGTCATGCAAGCAATTTATTATTTATTAGTACCCCATTTTAGATATGACCACCTGCAAGAAGAACATGTATATTTTTACACTATCCACATAAGGGCAAGTGCCCACACACAGATAATCCAAGGGAAATCACACCAAATCATCAATCATATGCGCACAAAAGGAAAAATCCTAGTCCTAGAATACCTAGAGGTTATGCACCTAAGTGTGTGAGGCTTGTGTAGCATGTCACATTAAGGGTGTTTGGTTTTATTTTGGAATGAAGATGTTTAATCTTTATCCAGGGGTGATTTCACTCTAAGTTGTTTGTGAATTAAAGATTTTATTTGATTTTTTAAATATTTCATAGTTAGGAGGGTTATGAAGAACCCATAAAGTAACCACTACTTACTTTTGGACAGTCTGTTACTTATGAATTGTAAGATACAATGATGTAGGTATCCCACCTTTTGAAAAAGATGATTATTCATTGTATCAAAATGAACCTAAGTTATTTTTAGGTGTTTTGGAGTTCTCTTAGTGTTTGGATAAGAGAATTGTCTATCTAATAGGGTAAGATAGACATGCCTAAGGGGTTTTAGTTAGGACTTGGTGAATTCATCCAATATGATAGGATGAACTTCAACAGAAAGGATAACTTTTAAGGGACATTTTATAGGTTTAGCATTTTAAATGTCATAGGAGAGATCACTCAATTTGGGTTGAGTGGAAGAGATTACTTAGATTTTAATCTAAAAAAGATATCCAACATGAAGCTTTTGGGCTACATGTTGAGTGATTCTTCTTAGCTTTAGGAGCTAAGAGGAGAAATAAAGTAATCCAACATTTAGCTTTTGGGCTAAATGTAGGAGAACTCTCTCTAGCTTTTGGAGCTAAAGAGAGGGGAAATCTCTACAACTTTGGAGTTGGAGGAAAAAATATGGATGACCTATCAATTTTGGCTCAATAGATGAGGGAGATTTGTAACTTTGGGGTTACAAATTAATAAGGGTTATCATTGAACTTTTATGTTCAACGATGGGTATTTGGTTTGCTAGATTTAGATTAAGCAAACATAAGAGAATGCTGTGTAGTTTTGGCCTAAACATCAATAATTCTTTGAACTTTCGGGTGTCCAAAGAGAGGAATTCATTCATATAGTTTGGGTTAGGAGAATGAGAGGAAGCTAGGATCTCTGTTTAAAATTGCGCAATAAGAGGCGCGCCTCTGCGCAATTCTTGCAAAAAACGCCTCTAGGCGTGCGCAATTGCTGGCATTGGTGAGGCGTACGCCTCACATTGGTTGAGGCGTACGCCTCACATTGGTTGAGGCGCGCCTCTGTTGCGCAATTGCGCAATTTTGAGAGAGGCGTACGCCTCAGCCAAAAGGGTCCACCTACTTAAAATGACTCCTCCCTTTCCCCCACACCCGATCGACTCACTTGCTTCCCGAATTGTTCCGCCCGTAAGCTCCAGATCGCGAAAACCTGAGGCGCCCGTCTGGTCGGCCAACCTTCCCGCCGCCTCTCCCGCCGGCGCCGCCTCTCTCCGGCGAAGTTGAAGTGTCCGGCCGCCTTGTAGGAGAAGTCCACAAAGGATTTTAGGTATTTTTTTGACTTTTTGGTTAGATTTTTGAAGTGAAAGAAATTTTAGGGTTTTAGATTTTTGGAAATTTTTTGTGTGATTTTCGATTCTTTCATTAGGGATCATGGTAAGAGGCAAGGAAAAGGGGTCTTCGTCATTGCGGAGGGATTCTTCTTGGAAATATAGCGTACAAGTTGACATTGGCGGCGGAGAGAAGAGCTATGTCTATTTAAAATGCAATTTTTGTGAGAAAGTGGTGAAGGGCGGAGTAACCCGCATGAAGGAGCACTTATCATGCTCTCACAAGAATGTAGCACCGTGTGCAAAAGTGCCGGACAATGTGAAGGAAGAAATAAGTGCTTACATGAAGAAAAGTACCACTGTTAAACACTTACAACAAGAGCAATTTGTTGACATGGCATTCATAGATACAATTGGAGAAGAAGATTCACTTGAAGACCCATTTAGTGATGGGATATGATTTCATTTTATATGTTTTTTGTATTTTGGGAGTTTTGTTAAACTAATATTTTGTGATTTTGTACTTTGGGACATGATTTTATTGCATATACATTCTTATTTTCCACTACTGCTATTATTTTCCTGCTTAAACCCTTAATTTTTCATTTACGCAATTCTGTGTTCGTGAGGCTTACGTCTCAGACCGCCTCGAGGCTTACGCCTCACCTCACGGACGAAAACTGCCTCAAGGCGCAG